CACACACACACACACACACACACACACACACACACACACACACATCATTTGGTTTTTATTGGGATAAAAATAAATGTTTCGATTAAAATCTACTGCAGTGGTATTTAGTTTGTGGCAAAATGCTGTAAGGCTGCGACGAGCTCATAAAAACTATCAAAGGGAAACAAACTAAGAACAAGTTACAGGCGATTAAATATGCAAATTAATAACAGAAACCAGTAAGTTAATTTAGTTATACTTTATAAAAGATATCCATATTCATTAAAAATCTAATTATCCTGATAAAAACAGTAAAACTATATAAATGACACATTACACCTGAAATACCCTGAGAGTCAGGCAGCAACTAGCAACTATTTTAATAATCGATTATTCTGACGATTAATCAATAAAACAATCAGGACATAGTTTCAAAACGTTTGGTGATGGAGCAGAAGGGTCGGCTGTCTGCCATGTGTTGGTGGTGTGTCTTAGTGGTAGTTATTGAAGAACATTTATTTTACACCAGGATCTTAACGTCGATCCTGCAGTGATTTTTACGTAGGTCTATAAAAATGATTCAACCTCAATCCTTTTCAAATAGGACAATAAACATTTTATTCCCTAAATTGTAGCGTTCCTTTAGTGAATAAAACAGGTAAAAGTGTTTTATCTTAAATGCTGAATGTAGATACATTTTATAGTTTACTTACTGTGCAGTGGTTTTACAGCAAATTGCTTTTTAAGTGCATGCTGCAGTTAAAGATTGATTATTAAACCAGTTGATTATTAATGTGATTAATGGTGTCAGTCCTCCGTGCCAGCAGTGTGTGTGTGTGTGTGTGTGTGTGTGTGTGTGTGTGTGTGTGAGACGGCGACTCACCTGAAGGGCAGGTAGGCGGCGTTGGAGCCAGAGATCAGCGCTCTGAAGGCTTCCTCTGGAGTCTTCTTCAGGTAAATCACCTGCAGGAAGGAAAAGCATCGTGACATCATCAGACCCAGAAGGGAAATGAAGCGGCGCTGCTGCAGGAAACACCGGCTGCGGTTCCTTACAGCTGTCCAAAGTCACATTTAGGAAATAGATCTGCTCATGGAAACACGACAATTTGGAAAAATTTACATTTTATGATAAAAGTTTTGGAGCCAGGATGAGGTGGAAATTGGTTTATTTCATAAAACTGCAATTAAAACTATTTTTTAGCCTCATAAGAGTCACTTGATCAACAACCGGACGTTACTACTGGTGGAAACGAAGAACGAGAAGAAGAAGGTGGTGGTGGAGCGGCTTGTTTATTAATGACTCATTGTGTCAACAATCTTATTCATGTTGTGTTTCTTATTTAAAGGAAATAATGTTATTTTAACTTTAGCGTTCGCCGTCATGACAGCAAAAGTTTGCTGGGCGATAAATTGTCCCAAAATTTATTACGATAAAATGATAATGTTGTTTTGAGGCCATTTCTAAGTAATATAACGCTAATAATAATGAACAAACACATTCTCAAACTTTAAATTCTAATGAACATTTAACTCCGGCACTATAAGACAATTTAAATATCAGAAATAAACAAACAAAATTAATTATGGAAACAAAACTGCCTTTCAAAATAAGGGCTATTTAAGACCAAAACACCAGACTGAAAACTTTTATCATCCAGTTTTTGGTAGAAAGAGAGAAAAGAGGAAAACATGCGATTAATTGATTAATTGATTTATTGATTAATTGGTTTACTGATTAATTGATTTATTGATTAATTGATTTATTGATTAATTGACTTATTGCTGATTGACAAAGTTTTGCACACATTTTAATGGAAACATTTCTGATTATCTGAAGGTTCTGGTTGATCCTGTTGAACTTCGACGCCGTCTTAGAGACAAGCAGAGGGAAGGCTGGAAACCGTTCTGCATCAGAAAATATGAAGAACTCTTATTGTTGCGGTTCTGGCCGGGTCCGACCCGGTCTGATTGTGTCGGAGCCAGAAGCCGCTCCGTGAACACAATCAACTTTTGTTTCAGCACCATCAAATATTCAACGTGCGAAACGCAGCAGGAGAGAGTGTGTGAGTCTAATGTCCCACCTGCAGAGTTCTGGACCAGAACCAGAACCAGAACCAGCTGGGTTTCTGGTTCTGAACCTTCTAGACTGGACTGGGACTCCAGAACTAGAAGATCCTGAACAACAAAGATCCAACAAAACCAGAACTAAGCAGAAAGCAGAACGGATCATTTAATGTAGAAATGTTGGGTTGAACGTTGGATAAGGATCATAAATCTTAATTCTTAATTAATAAATCATGAATCTAAATAAAGACAATAAATCAATTAATCACATGATCAAAATTTTTACCAAAATCTGGATGTTTAAATCTTCAGTCTGATGTTTTGGTCTCAGTTTCTCTTTTTTTAAGGATAATTTTGTGACTTCATGATTCATTTGATTTGTTGTTTTTATTTATTTTGGACATTTTAAATGTCTTCAGTTCCAATGATAAATGTTTATTATTAAAGTTTATTGATCTTTGAGCAATTTTTATCATTATATTACCTGAAAATGGTCTCAAAACAACAACATTATGGTTTATTGAAGTAATTACTGAGTTTATCATTCAGCTCTACATACGGCCAGACAGAGATTTACAGAGCAGCAGCAAAAGTAAAGGAGGAGGATTAGCAGTGCCTGGATGTTGAGCTGTTAGCATGTCACAACGCTCATGAGACTGGTAGACTGACTGTCTTCAGTCAGAGGCATATTTAGAGTCACTGCAGGACTGACTGCTACTGGAGATCCATCAGCAACAACGGTTTGAAGAGTCTTAGATGAAATTAGTTACAAAACGTAATTTCTCTCTTTGGGATAAATAACTGAATTGTTTTCTGCAGATGGTTTTGTAAAGTCAAAGCTAACCAGTTAGCATGCAGCTGGAAACAAACATCCCACTAAAACAGACAAGTTTCATCAGCTCTACTGGGGGTTAAATAATACAAATCTGAGAATATTTTATCATCTTTGGTCAAAACTCAAAGCTTTTTAGAGCAAAAAATGAGAGAAAAATCAGATTTTGGAGTTTATTTTAGAAAACCGTGATGTTCTTGTTTGTCTCTATAAACAACCAGCAGTTTTTCTCCAGTTTTTAAAGTGATGGTGGGATGTGCTGAGAGTCGGACTCACGGCGTAGCCGCCGATCAGCACGGCGGCGTTGGCGCGCTTCCTCTGGTCGAAGCTGGTGTAGTGAACGATTCTCTTCCTGGTCAGCGTGAACGACTGCACAGAAACACAAACACAGTTACTCGTCGTTTTCCTTCATTCCAACAGAAGCCGAGCGCTTTCTGTGCGTTATGAACGTGTGAACTGATGACTGAATTAAAGCCGGTCGGGTTCAAACTGCAGCGGCTGAATCAGAGGAAACGGCGAGCTACAGATTCTCTCAGCCGACTGTTAAACCGTCAGCTGCCTCCGTTTTCTCATTAGAGGCTCCGTGATGAACCCACTGGACCCGGATCGGCCCGCCAACACCGGCAGGAGAGCTCATTAGAACCCAGATGACAACATAACGCTAAGCACTGCAGACCAGCAGCATTACAGAGCGATGGGAAGAAAGTAAAAGCTGGTTCTTCTTGGTAATGAAATGATGAAAAGTCTGGCAAACATTTGTGTTCAGCTGCCAAAGAGTGAAGACTTCAAGGTTTATTACTTTTTACTTTTGTGTTTTTACCATGTGAAGCACTTTGACCTGCCTTGTTGCTGAAATAAACAATGAAACTTGATTTATTTATTATATTTTATGTTGTACAATAAGTGCTTACTTTCATTTAAATAATTTTCCATAAACAACTTCCTATGGAAAAAAATTAATCCTGATTTTGTAAATGTTTCTCTTTGTTTTTAAACCTACAAACAGAAATAAAACTGTACTTTTTAAGAAATGACCACAAATCAGATTGTTATTATAAATGTCTAAGTTGTGTTTTACTAAAAGTTATGTAACATTTATGGCTCTAAACAAGTTTTTATTTTTGTCTCTTCAGACGTTCAGAGCAGTGAGTGACATCAGCACCCAGTGAGTCTGACTGGTTTAAATGGGAACCAGCTGCAGGTGAACCCAGATCCTCCGTCAGTGTGATGAAACATGATCCGACTCGGAGAAAGTCACGCCGATCCGGACCGTCCGGTCGCCTGAGGAATCCGGGCGCCACGGCAACCAACACAAACACAGAGGAAGCGTGTTTAACGGTGTCTCGGCGGGAGGTTGCGTCACGCTCGCATCGCTCCGCGCCGCATTCAGGACATTCCTGCACAGGGAGGATCAGCAGCAGAGAAACTCACCTTCAGCTTCTTGTTGAGCTTGCAGCAGTATCGGTAGAGCATGGCCAGGTTCAGCGGCCCGAAGTCTGCGTAGAAACTGGGCAGAAACACAAGAGAAACGGCATGAAGCCGAGTCCGCAGACCGGAAACAGGAAGTAACGCTGACGATCCCCACTGCAAGTCCAGAAATACATCCTGCATGTGGGAAGGTTTCAGAACGATCCAAACATCCAGCAGGTCGCTCCAAACTCAGCTGAAACTTCTGACGGAAAACTGGTTTTCACTGAAAAATATTAAAATATTCTCTTTTGTTTACATTTGTTCTCACACAGCATGAAAGCTGCATGATATCATAATAACTCAGTTCATCGCATGATAAAGAAGGCGGTTTTGTTTCCAAATCCGTTTTATTTATAGCTACAGTTTTGCCTTTTTTAATCTCGTTTTATCGTTTTTGTTCATTTATTCTGGATGTTTAAAATGTCTAAACATTAAGTTTTAGTGGCATCAGAGGGTAAACCTGCGTCATCATGCAATATTATCGTTTAACACAGAGGTGTCCAATGTGCGGCCCGGGGGCCATTTGTGGCCCATGGAATGATTTTGGACGGCCCTTGATCACAGTTCAGGAACAACCTAAATTAAAAATTAAAACATTTTTGCAATTACAATTAAAAAGAAAAAAATACTAAATGTTTTGTGGCTGCCAGAGTCCTTCCAACTTGACATTTTTGTCCAAAAGGTTTGGACACCACTGGTTTAACACAAAGTTTATTGTGACTTGTCTAGCTGCAAGGAATCTGAAACCCATTTTCTCAGGATCAAACTGATTCATTTTCAATGTTTTTATTTGATTAAAAGACCTGAAGCAGCAAAAACAGATACACAGAGAACGAGTCACCAGATTTAAACACAGATCCTCCAACAGAGAAAGAAATCTGGAGGTGAAGTCATTTGACTTTTGGCTTCTGATGAACAAAAAGAAATCAAACTGATTCATTCAGTCATAACTCAACATTTCATCACTTTCATGTAAAACTAAACATTAGCAGCGTTTTGGAGACAGAAGGAGAAAGTTGGTTCATGAAAAAAAAAAAAACTTTTTTAACCTTTAAAGTGTCTCAAATATAAAAATAATGAAACATTTATTTAAGTTTTTGGGTCAAAACTCTCAATATTTTCTCTGGTGATGATTTACAGTCGTGGTGTAAATGAGTGAAAGCAGTTTGAAGTCAGACTTACTTCTCGTAGACAAACTCGTCGTCGGTGCAGAAGTAGTGGGTGTTGATGGTGCTTTTGGGTTTGCTGCGTAACGTGGCGAAGTACAGACGGTCTGCAGGGAAACATTAAGTGTTACAGTTAAACCAGATGCTACAGGTTATGACTACAGTACTCGCTCTGATAAACCTCCTCAGAGCTGAGATTCAGATGAATAAACACCGGGGAGATTCTGGGTCATTTCATTATCACAGCAGCTCTTGATCTTTGTACAAATTATATTTTTAAAGTGTTTCAGACTCTACAGGCAGCAGGACGACAGCTTGGCAAAACAAAGCTGATCAGGAGAAACACGAAAACAGCAGCAAACTTTTATTATTCAATACGTCCAGAAAACCAGACTGTCCTTTGGTCACATCTCAGGAACCAACCAGAAAACATCAGCAAAGCTTTCAGAGTTCAGACAACAGGACAAATAAGCAGAAGCTGATTTCCCCCTGTTACTATCTGAAGTTAAATCAAACCAAACTTCTGTTTTATGTCAGTTAAAATTATTTCTATTTGCTAAATGTAGACGACTTGTTAGACATTACTTATGGTGTCCCACAGGGATCAATGTTCAGTCCGTTATTATTCTGGATAATAATGTAAAAAATATTATCATGTAAATCAACGATAAATGTAAGGCAACAAAAATGCTTAAATTTGCCTCATTTGAGACACAAATATGTTTATATGCATCAAATAAACAGAAGCTCATGCAGACAGAGCAGAAACAGAATAACAAACTGAATCAAACCAAATTCATGATATTTTGAAATCTAAAACTACCTGTGGATAAAAGACGTAATAAAACAGCTGAAATAAGACCAACATGTCGGATATTTGGGGAGAAAATTGGTCGTAGTTTGGTTTGAATCTTGCACTTTTCTGTGATGTCAAACATTTGTTGGTATCATAAAATGTTGCAGTTTAATAGTGAAACAGGAAATTTAGGATGGTTGTGTTTATGTTTCATCCAGACAGAAATGACTTGGAAAAATAAAATAAAGATTTACAGGATTTTATTCTTACATTGTTGTTTTTTAAAACCTATGTTCAAAACAAAACAATACACTTTAATTACAATGCTATTTAATTTGAATGAATGAATTATTAAATCCCACATCTGTAGAAACAATACAAAGATAATAAAATGCAGTCTGATAGTTACATTTTTAATTATTTTTCAACAAATTCCTTTAAATTCCTGCGTCAGCATTCTGAAGTCCCAGTAAACCACCTGGGTTGAATCAACTGGGATTTTTGCTGTCCATTAAATCAAACCAGTGGCCTTGGTTCAGACCAGATTTCCCACACGGCTTTAACTGGCTGTGAACACTTCCTGTAATCATCATGACTAAGCTGCAGCCTGAGAGACGGGAAAGATCAGCTCAAGTAAAAACAACTCAGGCTCCAAAATTAGACAAATTAAATGTCCAATCCGCCGCCTGCCGGTTGAAACCTTCACATTAGTTAGACCAACAGCTGACCGACAACTAAAGAACTTCAAACATTTTGACTGAAAAATAGAAAAAAGAATAGAAAAAAATTCTGGTTTAATAATAAAAACATTGTTTTAAGAGATAATATTCAATCTTTGATGTTTAACTTCTATGGTAGCTACTAGTGGTGACACTTTTTGAGGAAAAAATAAAATATTTTATACTTTTCTAACTGCTGAACCTTTTGGAGATTAAAATAAGACAGTAAATACTGTATCGTCATTGGAAGTACTTTACCCTGTTCTGACATACATATTACCTGCTGTAAGTTGTATTTTTATTCATTTTACATAAAATTTTTGATTTAGAAAAAATTTTAAATGTCTGTCTGGACTTATTTTTTAATCACATTATTTATTAGATATCTTTGTTGTTAAAATACCAATATTGGGACATAATTTAACTTTTAAAGATTAAATCAGATGTTCTGATTAGGTAATCTTTTCACAAAATACTTTATTCTTCTGTCTTGAATAATTGCTTTTACGTTTATCTTGAGTAAATATATGTCAAGTACTGCTTTAGTACTATACTCACCTCTGGTAGATTCAATACAAAAATAATGTGTTTTGAAATTAAAAAATAATTGTAAATAAAGAATATAATTTGTATTATGTAATGAACGTTATATAATACATTTTACTTAAAAAGGTTGACAGGAATAGTCCAAACTAATTGAATGCTGATCAAAATGGGAGCTTTAAAAGGTTGGAAAAAAGGTTATAAAGTGAGTTTCTTAAATTCAAGTATTATATTTTAATCTTTTTTAATGAACTAGTCTTGTGGCGTTTAGTTTTATTACTGATTTTAACGTCATATTGCTTAAAGTTACCTTTGATCAACTCTGCCGCTCCCCGCGGCTCTCGTTCCTCAGCCATCCGGAACAGGGTAGACGGAACCGGGGAGCGATTCACAACTCCACGGTCATGAGTCAAGTCTAATTCCTGCACTCGTTCAGCTTCTGCCGAAAACTCCAGAAAGGGTCCGTCTAACTCCTGGGCGGCTTCAGAAAGTTTTCAAACTGCTAGCAGCTCTAGCCGTTGAGGAGCTAGCAGCGAACCGCACACAGCGTGTTTAAAAAGTTGTAAAACTTCCTCCTCAGCTTCCCATCGGTCACTGTAGCTTCCTCTCGTTCACTGCGAATTTATTCCCATTGTTTCTTTTGTTTTGTTTTTCCCCCTTTACCCGATAAATATGCTCTGATTAGCATATTAGCATGTTAAAGCTCCGCAAGCTTGACGAGAGTCTGAAACTCTGATTGACCAAATCCCTCCTTAAGATACGTTGCCATAACAACGACAGCCGCTCTAAGGGACACCGCAGCCAATCAGCGAACAGAACACTTTGTGCCGCGTTCATGGTCCACTGGGAAACACCCCAGGAAGAAAAACAGGAACCCCAGAAAAACCAGGGAATTTGACTCAAATTTTTTTTACTGTAAAGCAAGTATTGTTTAATACTTGCTTTACAGTAAAATAAAATGTAATTTTTCGAGTTGTGTAATTCTGATCTGAATTTTTAACTGTGTGTATGATTACAGCGCATGTTTGGTTCTACTCCTTTGGATTTCATCACAAAAAAGGAATAAATGAAGCTTTAGACTAAATTTACTATAAAATACTCCTTAAAAACTCAAAGTGCTCCATAAAATAATTGAGATATTTTCAAAATTTACTATATTTGTTTTATGCTGGTACATCTAAATAAAATAGAATAAAGTAATTTTATTTCACAAATTTATAACAAACCTGTCCAGGGTGTACCCCGCCTCTCGCCTGGAACGTTAGCTGGAGATGGGCACCAGCACCTCCAGATCCCATTAAGGGACAAGGGTGTAAATGGATGGATGGATAGAAATTTATAACAAATTGAGTACATACACCATTGCTTATTGCAAGTAATTTCTGTTCACCAGCATCAAATTAACTAATAGAAATAATTTGACATTATAACTGACCCAAAACTAGAATAAATTAGTCAACTTCAGAAAGTGAGGGGGGAATGTATCTGTCTTTTTAAGTGTTTTAACTAGTTTCCCAAATTTATGCTTTTAATCAAACATTATTTTGCATTTTATTATTATACTGTGCAGTATTAATTTCAAGCACTTTCAAGGACTTTATATACTTTACAAAGCTTAAAGACACAAAATTAAATTCAAGGAATTTCAAGCACCTGTAAAAACTGCAGAGGAAAACCTGCTGAAGAAGAAATGTGTTCTGATTTGAAGGTTTTTGGGTTTCAGCATCCAGATGAGCAAAATCAGCTTGATGAAGCCAAACTGACCTGCAATCAGTGAGATCCAGACGCGGTTCGGTTCTGGTCCGGGTCCAGGTCCCGGTGTGGGCTGCGGGGCCTGGGATTGGTCCTGGTGCCTCCTCCAGGGCCCCGTCTCGGTCATGCTGCAGGACGGCTGGCGGACTGCGAGGACACTGAGCCAGGACGCTGCGGCGGTACCAGCAGCGACCCGGGTTGGGTTACAGCCGGTGCCGGAGGAGGACAGAGGTGTGAGCTTACAGCAGCCTCGGGTTTCAACACACGGAGCACCGAGCCGGACTCCAGCTCACCTGCAGCAGGTCAACACGACACCGCGCCACTGACGCCACGGAAACGGGGCGGCACAGGAAGTTCTGGTTCTGATCCAGCAGCTGGAGTCTGGAAAAGGTCACGCTTTGTTTTTGTTCTCCCATCCTCAGCTGGAGGAAACTACATTACCCAGAATTCAGCTGCTTTCATTCAGTTTCCCCAAAAGCAAAACATTTTTTTTAAATGAAACAAAAATCTTGATTGTTTGGAAGAATTTTATTTAATAATTTCATCACATTATTAAGGAAACAAAAAGAAACCCTGAGCGACAGAAACTAAGAGGGTCGGCCATGTCAGGAGCAGCTACAAGTCCAGCAGAGTGTGTGTGTGTGTGTGTGTGTGTGTGGCTACAGGTTGGGGTTAACCACTCCAGATCCTTGACACTCGATGATGTAGGTGACGCCGCTGCTCAGCTCGTCTTCGCTCTTCGTTATCGTAAACTTCGCCTGCAGACACAACAGGAACAGGAAGAATTAAAGTTTCAAAATAAAAGTCTAAATGAGTTGACTTTGATTCTAATTATAAAGCAGCTCCAGGAGAAAAAAATGTTTTCTGGAGACTAAAGAGGAACATTAGGAGGAAAAACAGGGAAGCTTCTACCATCCTAACGGGGCAGTACGGTGGTGGCAGCATCATGTGGGGAGATTTAAACTCACACATCACAAATTATTAGAGATGTGCCGATCAGGTTTTTTTCTGCCGATTCCGATCATCCATGAGGCTCGATCACCGATACCAATCA